ATGAACAGAATGACAGGAGAGTTCCATAAGATTTATACTAAGCTATTTGATTAATTCCTCTTAGTAACGAGACAATCAATTAAAAACCTCGGAGGCAGAGTACCTGTCTGCCGAAGTAACGAGACTCTGCCGGAGGAATTCAGAATGACAGGAACCTCGTTTTGGGGATCCTCTCTGCTCAGGCTGCCGAGAGAGTTTGACCAACATCCTCTCCGGAGGCAGAAGTAATCCGTAGAGTGATCTTCCCGACCCGGAGGAATGAACAGAATGACAGGAGAGTTCCATAAGATTTATACTAAGCTATTTGATTAATTCCTCTTAATAACTAACCAATTAACGGAAAATTCCAAGATGAACAAGATCAACATCATAATAAAGACGTTTCAGTTTCATGCCTTCACGCTAGCAGCGTTTCATTCGTTTTGACGCGTTGATTATCAGTACAGCCGTTTTTTTTCCTTTCCGTCTCCCTTAGCGAGAGAGCCTCTTGATAAAACAGCCGTATTCTGTTTGGCAACAAAGTAAAACAGAATACAGCAGTCACTCTTATTTTTTGTGAGGTTTAACGGTTCCTACTAACATCATTCAATTTTTTTCGTGGTCATAACCCCCCACCCATCATTTCATTAATAATATATATATATATATATATATATATATATATATATATATATATATATTTCGATCGAGCACTATTAAAAAAAGGTAATTTCAAAACAGTAGCCGTCGCCGCTATTAACGCACCGCTCTTCATTAATGAATTGAGCACTCTGGCTGCTGGCGTTTGTATACATTTGTATATAATACACTAAAATTTTCCTTTCTCTGCTATGCGAATACGACGATAGCTTAGGGGTTTCGATTCCGGCTAGAAGCTATCGGATGTCCAGCCACACCGATGAGCTGTGATACAGTGAAACAGGCTTGGATGTTGACCACTATATATATGTGTGTGTGTGTGTGTGTGTGTGTGTGTGTGTGTGTGTGTGTTTTAAAGAATATATATTAACGCACCGCTCTTCATTAATGACTATGGCTGCTGGCGTTTGTACACATTCGTATATAACACGTTAGAATTTCCCTTTCTCTTCCGTACGCCGATAGCTTAGGGGTAGAATCTCTGACTGATATCAAATCGATTGGATTTCGATCCCGCCTTGAAACAATCGTATGTCTAGTCACACTGACGAACTGAGAAACGGGCTTGTACCTGGATGATTATATATATTTTACATACACAATTGTAGATATTGGGATTTTTAATTCATGGTTTGTTTTTTTTTGTGGGAGGAGGTTCGGTTTTTTTTTTTGTTGTTGTTGTTTTTTTCTGTCCCAGTAGTTGCCAAGTGTGTGTGAGATATTTTGGTGTATGAAGGAGCGAATAGTGACGGACAAATGAATGAGTATATTGTAAAGAATGAACGGGTCGTGAATTCGATTAACTAAGTCTAAGATAGCTAATGATGACTAACCTTGACCAGTCTCCCCACTTTTCTTCGGCATTGTCATTAATAAATCTTAGACAAGCGACGTTTACACAAATACTTAATAGTAGTAGTAGTAGTAACTTCCCGGCCCGGGGGAAAAGAACTAAATGTCAGGGGAGTTCTCTATTATTTATACTTAGCTGTATGGTTAATTCTCCTTAGTAACTAATTGACTAATGGAAAATTCCAAGATGGACATGGTCACCATCATATTAAGCAGGTTTCAATTGCCTGCCATTCACGTTGGCTCTAAGCAATAAACGTCCTGTGTATGACGATAAACCACATCCGACAACAAGACCTGTGATCGAAAAAGTGGAAGGTTTTAGAAGCACCGAATCATCATATAACTTCTGTCGTTCCTATTTCCTCCCTGTTAGGGCTAAATAGTGAACCCCCAAATAAAAATTAACAGTACAAAAATTAACATTAAAATGACTAACAATACTTTTTTTATAACAAAATGACACTCGATACAACACTAGAAAAATTATAAAAATATATTTTTATAGTAAAATTACCAGCAATACATTTTTATAAAAATTACCCACAATGTATTTTTGTAGTGAAATTACTAACAATACATTTAAAATATCAATTTTTGATAAATAAATATCAATAATACATTTTATTATCTACAAATTATGTATCTGTGTATGATATGCCACTAAACAAAATGACCATCAATACACACACACACACACATATATATGTGTGTGTGTGTGTGCGTGTGTGTGTGTGTAATTATTTACCCTCTGCCCGACGCAGAAAGATGTGGCACAAGGCCGAGTTTTAAAGTGGGGTATCCGAGCCCGTAGGCTCGGGCAAAAATTCCCTAGAGACCACGTAAAAAACGGAGTCAGTTTCCCGAGACGAGACTCTGCCCTTCAGCAGAGCCTCGTCTGGGGGGGGGATACCTTCTGACATGTGCCAGGTAAGTATGTATGTATGTATGTATGTATTGCCCTATAAATGTATGTATGTATCTGTTGCCCTATAAAAACGAGACGCACTTGTTTTCAAGTGGGTTATTCAGATGAAGACGACGATAGAGTGAATTAGTCAGAAAGGTAAATTGCCTGAAAATTACTTGACATTGGAATAGACATACTTTACTTTGAGTTCTGATTCCAAATCGCAAAGATGTGAGGAAGAATTTCCTGAATATGGTACTAACACATCTATGAAAACAAAAGTCAAGTTTTCACGGCTACCTAAAATCACAAGAATTTTAATTTCAGTTCAGTGTACATAGGTATTCAGTATGTGATAAGATATAAAATAAATGACTATTGGACACGCTGGGACTGTCAAAGATATGTGCAGTGTCACAAGCCATCTAATTAATTAATAACAATACATCGTTAAACTTGAATACAATTCTGGCAACTGACTCAACATCCCGTTCAACACAAGACACTCCCAGTTTAATTTAAAATTGTTGCATAGAAAGTGAATTTGCCTCGGGAATAGTTTGAAATAGATTCGTTCTCTTTCTATCTATCATATATATATATATATATATATATATATATATATATATATATATATTTGTGTGTATATACGTGTTTGTACGTGTGTGTGAATATACATAATACAACATATATACACTACACATATATACTTTATATATACAACATATATAATACATACCGCATAGATACAGCATATATATATATATATATATATATATATATATATATATATATACTGCATATAAGCAACATATATATATATATATATATATGCATACTGCATATATATATATATATATATATATATATATATATATATATACATACACACACTCACACACACACACACACATATATATATATATGTGTGCATGTGTGTGTGTGTGTGTGTGTGTGTGTGTGTGTGTGTGTGTGTGTGATTAATACAAATGTAAAATTTATCACTTAGCTGATTGATGTTATATTCAGTACTCTAATTCCAGAGTCACGTAGAGGACTCTTTTTGTAACAGTATGGGATAATTGTCCATATGTTTAATATCTGAAAAAAAAACCCACTAAACTAATAAAGTTTCTTTTTTCCAGGTTTTCCGTTAAGACGTTTAGCCACCCTGATTTAATTTGTCGTAAGAATCACTGAAAACCCCTTTGAGTTATTCAGAGAGAGAACAGGTTAAGATCATTTTTGTGTCAGCCTCACTATGTCTTCCCAAATGAGAAGTGGTATGAGGAAAAAGATCATTCGGGCCTTCAGTAATGGCACGAACATTCATACTCTGGCTTCCATCTTCAAAGTCCATTCAAGAAACATCAAGTGAACGATAAATAAGATTAAAAAGAAAGAGCAGTAGAAAGGAAAACTGAATCAGGAGGTCACAACAGCAAGAGGAATCATTATTTCAACTTAGAACTAAATATATTCTTATCGTTCAAAGTAGAGTCCAATAGTGTTAAAAAAAACTCAGAGAATTCCAGTAAGATATCTTTAATCATTTCTAATATACAACAGTTCAAATCTTAATCTAACAATTGGACAATTTTGATTTGGACAATTTTCCATTCCATTCCTTAATTTAATTTACACGCTTTTATAAATTTTATAAATTTTCAATTGCCAGAAAAATAAACTTGGTAAGTCCTGGGATGAAACCGGTTGTTTTTTTTTTTTTTTTTTTTTTTTTTCATTGTTAGCTTTTCTTTTATAAAAAATGCTTTATAAATTTTGTCTATTCCTATCTATCATTAAATTCTGTACAACAAGAAACTTATTTAAATAATATATATATATATATATATATATATATATATATATATATATATATATATTGTAGAAATTGTTCAAATGCTCTGCTTTCCGAGCACTTTCGGCTATCATTTGCCATTATCTAGGATGGTTTATTGCTTTTAAGGGAATGTATTGATTGTTTTATGTATGTATCTAGAGATATAGAATGTTTGTTTGTATTTTCCAAACATGGCTAGATCATTGTGTCCGTGTTCATAATTGATATTATTGTGTGTTGACTTTTTCTTTTCTTTTTTTTTCATTCATATTTTTTAACCTTTTATATTTGGATGATTTTCATAAATCTGGCCATAAGAGATTACTGCCCAAATACACAATTATTGAACACAAACACACACACATACCCACATCTCTCTGTCTGTCTGTCTCTCTCTCTCTCTCTCTATATATATATATATATATATATATATATATATATATATATATATATCCGACTGACGCCAAATCCGTAAGGTTCGATCGCTGCATGAAGTAACCGCATGTCTAGCCACACTGATGAGCTGTGATACAGTGAAATCGACTATATATATATATATATATATATATATATATATATATATATATATATATATATTCACAGAAAAGGGACAAAGCAGCGTTAAACCTTGTTCAACGATGAATGGTTACTGTTCTTCTAAATTCCAAGAGCTATTTTGAATTCCTCAGCCGACCGAAAGCGTCAGATATCGTCTCTAATGGACGTGAGTATCAGAAACTATTGTGACCCGTGTTCTCAATCTCCGAACAGAGGCCGAGGGGCTAAACCGGAGAGAGATGCATCTGGAGATATACAGGGACACACGCTTATGGGCCGATGCAGACAAGACGAGAAGTGCAGTGGGCGGGGGTGGTAGGTTTCAAGCCGAGTAGCTAAGATAAAAAAAAAAGAAAAGAAAACAGCTTCAGGGGTAATGACTTTGCGGCTGCTCCACTCACAGCCGTACGTTAGCTCGTTATTACATTGCTGGCTTGGCGTAGACACAGAGTTGTACTTATAAGGACGTACGTAGAATTGACACAACTCTGTTATCCCGGGAACACCCACGCAACATTTATATGTAGAGGCACACACACACACACACACACACACAGACACACACTCAGAGATATATCGATAAGTTTGTAGCCTAATGAGAACATTCTCTTTGTAATCTACACAGCAAATATTTAATTTTTACATGTTCCTTGTCGACGTACCAAGTGCTCTATATTAGACAAGCTGATCGAACATTATACGATGGAAATTTCAGATCAAAATCCGATTAATAACTGTGCCATACTACTTATTTACAGTGCCAAAGTTATACGCGTTTCGATGTGTGACTGTGAGTATATGAGATAGATAGATAGATAGATAGATAGATATAAAAGAAGGAAGGAAGGAAGGAAGGAAGAAAGAAAGAAAGAAAGGACCAGACAAGAGTAGAGCGGTAGGAATAGATAGATAATGACCAGACTGAGATAGATAGATAGATAGATAGATAGATAGATAGAAACAGACTGAGATAAATTGATTGATATGAACAGACTGAGATAGATAGATGAATAGATAGATAGATAGATAGATGAATAGATAGATAGATGAATGAATGGGAAGAGACAGACTAGGGTAGAGATGGGGATAGATAGATACGTCAACGCAAGTCTTCAGGACGTTCATAGAACTCCGCGAATATCTCTTGCTTTCTGATAACGTCGTCTTTATATATATATATGTATATATATATATATAGATAGATAGATAGATAGATAGATAGATAGATAGACTAACAGTAGAGCCAGCGTTTTGGGGATGTAACAGTAAGAGATAGATCAAGTATCGACCATCATAAGACTGGAAAATAAAATTGACAAGATTATTGTTTTAAGGTTGACGGACGCATGTCTTAATTAGTCAAACCCAAACACAAACAAAAAACATTGTTTTCAATCGTTATGAGTCTACCGATTGAATAGAATTTACAATATAAACAATTAGTTCTTGTAAATGGAATTTTAAAGCATTCTGTATTTAAAAAAAGAAAACATGTGCAAGACAATAAGAAACACTACCTGCCAAAAGAAATGTGAAGTTTTGTTGAAATCGGTTGAAAAATGTAGGAAATCCGATCCCATATATAAACGAACACACACACACACACACACACAAACACACACACACACACACACACAAACAAACAACCTTGGTTTTATAATAAGTATAACTCGATGTGAGTTGTCCCCTTTCATTAATACCTCTTAATCGTGTTTTTTCATTGATTTCGTGAAAAAAACAATTGTGTTTTTCAATTTTGGCGCTGTCAGAACCACCACAAGGTAATTTTATATGACCTGTGAAGTTTTATTTGAAATCGGTTGAAAAATGTAAATACGATCAATATATAAACGTACAGACACACACACACACACACACACACACACACACAATCTGCGTTTTATAATAAGTAAGATTCTCTCTCTCTGTATTTCACTTACTCATTCTATCGCTGCTACACCCCATAATAACACACTCTCTCTCTTTACCAAGCACTATCTCTCTTTCATAACTCTCTTACTCTCTTTCTCTCTCTCTCTCTCTTTCATAATTCTCAATTTCCAAAGCTTTAAAAGCAATGTCAATCGCCATCCTCTCTCTTCTTGATTCCAGTTGTGGTTTTTGTCTTTCCGCCTCAGTGTAATGTTTTCGATGGGCATATTCCCGTAGAACCCGCATAAACGGGTTCAGGGCCTGTCTACCTCCCTAGGAAACTCTGCCCTTCGCCAAAGTCTCGGACGGGTTCCTCTCTGCACAAGGCTGAGAGTTCGATAGTAACGAACAGTCTATATCACTGTTAATATCTAACAGCCCCCCACCACCACCACGAGGGATGTATGTGGCACAAGGCCGAGTTTACCATGGGTTCTCAGAGCCCGCAGACTCGGCCAAAAATATTCACTTGGAAAACGGAGAAATGGGTTCAGGGTCTGTCTACATCCCCGGACGAAACTTTTCCCTTCGGCAAAGCCTCGTCAACTGTCGAACTCTCTGCTTTGGCAGAGAGTTCCGCCAGTTGAACAAACTATGGCACTGTTATATTTAACAGCCCTCCCACGTGGGTCGTATGTGGCACAAGGCCGAGTTTATCGTGGGTTCTCCGATCCCGTAGACTCGGTCAAAAATATTCCCTTCGAACTCGTATAAACAGGTTCAGGGCCTGTCTACCTCCCCGGACGAAAGCCTCGTTTGGGTTTCTCTCCCCCGAGGCGGAGAGTTTAACAGCCGAACAGACTGTGACACCGTCCCCTCGAAGCTTACTTTCCTACTAACTTTGTAGTAAGTGGAAGAGTCTACAATAGCCTCATTAGAGGGAGGACACCACAACACCTTCTAATAGGTAGCTGCATACTCCGAAAATGGGTCGGTTGCATCTTTTCCCCTGAGGCTTTTTAATTGTGCTCTGCAATTTTGCAATCGTCAGTATCTTTTTTAGTGAATTTAATTGTCGTTTACTTTATATGATTGGGTATTTTTGTAATAGGTTTTACTTTTTTTTTTTTGTCCTTTAGTAGGGTCGGTAGATTTATTTGTATGCGTGTTTTTGTACAGACTAAAAAAGAAAAAGTTAAAAATAGGCTTGTGAGCTTTACCGGGATTAACCAATCGAATGTGACCTACGGTAAATTCAAACACACCGAAAAATAAAATAAAATAAAATTATTATATAGGTCATGACATGAAGTTGTCTGCATTTAAATCCTAGACAATTTCATTATGGACAGCTAAAAATGGTCACAGTATTTCGTAAGATGTATATAAGTCTGGCGTTCAACTTTCTTAAGAAGTAAAAAATATTTTTACTTTAATTTAATTGTTCCCATTTTACACACACACACACACACACACACACACACACACACACACACACATATATATATCACTTTCTTTGGCCTCTCGGCTACGGAGCGCGTCGATGGTCAATCAAAGTCTGAATAGTGCCTTTAAACATAGAATTTCTCCGGCTCTCGAAATACACATGTCTTCTCAGTTTCGTATTCTAACGTAAACAAAGCAATTTCTAAAGAAATGGACTTTCTATATATTAATCCTGAAGATTTTTTTAGTAGTTAAAATTTAATTCTAATGGATACACGTATTTTGGTAGACGCTCCGTTTATTTATTAAACAGTATTTATTTTCGTCTACTCGCCTGAATATTCGAGAAATCTTACTAAAAAATATGCGCTATCCGGCAGGAGACGAACATGCGTTCCCCTAAGAAAACCATCGTTAGATCTGACGTGCTTTGACCTTTTGGCTACGGAGCGCGTCGATGGCCAAGCAAAATCTGAATAGCGCCTTCACACACACACACTCACACACACACACACACACACACACATATATATATATATGTAAGAAAATATATGGATATAGATCAGACAGTACGAAGAAAAATATACGGAAAAAAACAAACAAAAATCCTAATATGCAATTATGCTGTTTTAATGTTAATATAATGTCAACGTCGGACGTTTCGGTCTAGTAGACCATCTTCAGGACATATTCATAAACCATAGATAACATTAGACTATATTTAATTCAATATGAAAAGACGATGGACATGTTTTGATTACTCTTATATCCATCGTCTTTTCATTTGAATTGTCCCGAAGATGGTCTTAGCTTGACGTTGAGCATATTTATATTAAATATGTCCATAATTGCATATTAGGATTTTATTGTTTTTTATATATATATATATATATATATATATATATATATATATATATATAGTAAAATCCCGTGGGTAAGTAATCTATTAATATAAAATATTAAAACTGATCCACAAAAGAGAGCTCAATACATTTATTATAGAGCATAGAAATGAATTACCTAAAATGAAACTCAATTGTACCGCATTTGTACAATGGGGTACAACTGAATTTCATTTTTATGCAATTCATATATTCATTCGACTCTCCCGTCGTATTCGACGTATGAGGGTCAAGCAGCTCAGTTCCTAGGAACCGACAGCCAGACACCAGCACATATGATTTGATTATAGTAGTGAAGGCTTCGTGCAGAACCATCCACACTTTTTGAAGGGCCGAATACAAAGACCTGGTGAACTACGTGCCACAAGGTCCCCAAACGACTCCCCGCAGGTTTTGACTTCAGAGTTGTCCTTCCGTTCAAGGCTATAGAATCCAGTCTGCCCTGCTATTTACCCATAGCTGGAGGGAGAAGAAGAGGATTCATACCTTTTCCAAGGGTATTAGTACGTAAGTGAAGGTTTACGGCTGGAATTCGATTCCTCAATCCAAGCCGCTATCCATTAAGCGTGCTACTTGTTTGGCATTTGGGTCCCACCCTTTTACTGTCGAAATAGTTAAATGTAACCACCTCTTCTACTCCAACAGCTTCTCTCGCCGTGATAGGTCCTGATTTGACATCTCATCTACAGTCACTTTGTCACTGACGTGCTGTGGCTTTCCTCTGTCTTTTCTACAAATATTTTCATGGCAACTGCTCTGACGAGCTACATTCACCGGTATCCCAACTGCATGAATTTAAGCTTGCTACTAGGTTGATATCTTGGTCCCGCTCTTTCACTGTCGAAACAGTTAAATGTATCTGTCTCTCCAACAGATTCTTATCTCGTACTTCCCGACAGTGGAACTCCCTTCCTCTTACTTGCTTCCCTGGTAGCTATAATCTTCAAATATTCAACTGTAATGTCAATCGACATTTTCTGATGCTTTGATCCTGATCCTCGTCCTTCTCTATATCCTTTTCTCAAAACCCCCTCTTTATTCTTGCTCTCACTCTCTATAACCCCTTGCGTGCTAGTGGCACTCCCGCCTTCCTTGGGGTGAAATGATTAAAAAAATGTTGGGGTCAGTGATTGTAGCTAGCTAAGTTTAGATTTAAGACAGTTGAAGACAGTTTTTTCGTCATTCCCTATCTTGGCCTTGTGTCGCATTTTGTCATTTTTACAAATAAATATCACTCTTCGCTATGAAAGTAGATTTTCTGAATTTAAGAGCAGGACGAAACTGGCAATGAGGTTTCCATTTAGAGTTGAGTTGGCTAGATGTAGCCGTAAGTTCTTTGCAAACAGTCTTTTCTCGCACTTCGTACTTGTGGAACTCCCTTCCGGCTCCATGCTTTCCAGCCAATTTTTAATCTTCAAAAAATTAAATACAATGTCAATCGCTATCTATTGCCCTCTTGATTACTCTTTTCTCTTTTCACTCATTATTAATGTTTCTGTTCCTAATTCTTCCACACTCGGTAGCCCCCCCCTTGTGTCTTAGCGGCATAGCTGCCTTGCATTGGGTGCTAACGATTGAAAAGAATATAGATATATAGATATATAACAAAAGCTATGATGCCTAGACTTTATTAATATAAAATAGACAGGCGACGAGATCTCATCGACATACAGTTGAGATGGCTTGATATGACCATAAGTTCTTTGCTAACAGTTTCTTTTCCCGCCAGTTTCGCTCCTGGAACTCCCTTCCGGCTCCATGCTTTCCAACCAACTTTGGTCTTCAAGAATTTAAATGCAATGTCAATCGCTATTTACTGTCCTGATTACTCTTCATCTATACTCGCCCTTTAGTAGTGTTTTTGTTTTCTAATTCTTCCACACCCAGTAACCGCCTTACGTCTCA